GAAGCATCTTATTCCCATAAAATGAGTGGGTCTGGCCTAGAAGGGCAGGATTAAGTTCTATGACACTGGATTCTTGAGTGATTTCTATTGTTTATTGGTTGTACTATAATATTGCTGCTAGAGACCCTCAGGTATGGATCGCTGTGACACGAGAGCTGCTTTTCAGAGTGCAAACATTGCTAAGGCCCATAGTATTTGTAGCATTATATAATATTTAAAAAGCTGTAGAGCTGACGTATCAAAATACCAGTTAGAAATGTTTTAATAACCCTTTCTATCTAGCTTTGACAAACTTAAGTTCACTGTCTAAGAGCTAATTATACAACATTCTGTACTCCAGGAAAACCATTGCTGATCGCAAACAAGGTAGCTGTTAGAAGCCGCTGCTATTTAATTTTCTACTGTAAAGAAAACTTGCTGTAAGCAATTTCATTCTATCCAAAGAAAGAGTCTGCCTTCCACAAAAATTTAGAACATGGAATTTATATTTGTTTAAAATTTCTATGTAGTAATTTGTATTAAATACTAAACACTTATTTAAGGAGTAAATGATCAAAGCTGCATTTGCTTTCCAGTAATAACATCATGTAACGAGGATTCTAATGCATGTTTGGAATAAGGAATATATATTACTGTACAGTATTGTAATTAACATGCACTGAAATATAGGGCCACGAGAAGAAAGATATGGAAAAAAATGTTTAAAATTTAATCTTCTGGACTGAGCAAATCCATGGAATGTCATACTTAAAGATTTTTCAGGCAAGACTAAACTCTGCAACAAAGCAGGAGTGATAACTTACACAATGAATTGGTAAGCATATGAAAAGGCAAAAAGATTTTGATGTGCGAAAGATCAATAGCCTTCCTTCTCATTAATTGGACTGTTTGCAGCATGGGGTGTCTGCATTCAATTCATGCTCGTACACCGCATCCTCTACGTGCACACAAACATTTGCTTCAGTGGGCGTTTTGCAAGAGGCTCCCCACCTCCAGTTGGAGCCTAAGCTTTGGGATAGGAATATATATCCTACCCACTTGTCTTTATATGCTAAATTGAAGGCTGTACTCTGTTTCAGCAAGGAAGTGTACGCTGCTCTGGACTCAGGAGATACTGGCTCCTGTGCAGCTCCTTTCTGGGAAGCTGTTTAGTAAGACACTCTTGAGAGTGAAATTGAAACACAAACTACATTAGGTGATCGGTAGCCGGTAAAGCAAGCCACATGGCCCATTTGGCTTCTCTTTTTGGAACTGTTCCAATTTAGATATACTTAATGGCGTAAGCCAGAGTAAATCCCATCTTGTCTGAGAGCAATGCAGCCAAGTTCTAAAGGGGAAATATGAAGAGAGGCATGATTAAAAGCAGAGAGGCAGTTGGATAGGTGAGTTCCTGACAGACTCACTGAAAAGTCACATAAACCATCTATCTGATGCATCGTGGCTTCTTGACTCTTGTGCTGGCACCCAGATGTTGTCCCCCAGAGTAGCCTGCGGGAGCCCCAAGAGGAGATGTACTGAACAAGGAAAACAAAAAACCTCTCCATAGAGCTCTTTCTCAAGGGAGGCCTCAGAGGCAGCCCCGGCTACAGAAGGCTGAGGCTGTGTCAGAGGCTGGGAAATGTGTGTGCACTGGCCTCTCAGCCATCGTGGTACAAACGGACGGGTGTCCTGCCACCTCAGCGACCTGTTGCATGGGTGTAGGCTGGAGGGACCAGTCCCACAAGTTGGTTCCAAACACTGTGTGAAACCCACATCACTCAGTACCCATTTCCTAGGAAACAGTTGTATCCTTTTCAAAGGTTCATTGCAAACTTTGTGGGTAGATTGTGTTTTTTGTGACTATTTATTCTAAATTACAAATGGCACAGTTAAACTTTGCAGGCTGGGGGGTTACCATGTGACAGCACCAAAGTAAATGCAAGAAATGGGCAGGAGTTTACAAATAGTCTGCAAATGTAAGTACCCAGCATAATGCATGCTCCTCATTGCCTGTCCTGCAAATGTAACTTAGTTACTTCAAAACTGCATCACTCCACTTGTTTTATAGAAATCACATAAGGGGTGAAGTGCAACATTTTCTCAGCTTGATGGAACTTCATATAGTGAATACGATATAGGTCAAGACAGTAACCAAAAGCTCAGCGTAACCACAACCACATGCGATTTGCATTTGGTTGTGGACTGCACATTTGGGGTTTTCTGCCCCACTTCTTGTTCCAGAGAACAAGAGAAGCTGTACTATGCCTTGGGGATAATTCAAGGCTTGATACTGAAAGAAATACTGGTTGCCTCAGCAGAATAGGTCTAAGAGTAAAATAGCCTAATGACCAGCAGGATAACTCAGACAGGCGGTAACGGCAGCTGCTCTGTATGCCATTGGATCTGCCTATACAGCAGGGCACTTCCAGGCTCCTAGAGTTTAATGTTTCTCACTGAACCTTCAAAGGTTGAAATCAGGTGCTTTGACATGCAGGGAGAGAGTCTGACACAGGCTACGCCTGTATTGTCGAGTCATGGAGGGCAAGCAGCTGGTTCAGAGAACCTGACCATGGACATCTCAGGAGGGATTACTTAGGAGTATTGCCAGTCTGATCCACAGCACTGAGCATTCATTGATGGTCTGCACATTTGCTGTGATTCTGGAGCTCACCTTCCACTTTAGTTTCATCTGAAAAGAATTCAGTTTACGTGCTCTGAGACCGCGCTGCAAGGCAAACCACAGCATATTAAGTAGGGACGACCAAGAGATGTTATCCAAACTGTACACTCAGTGACTTTCTCAAGGCTTGTTGTCTCAAATCTGTTCACCATTGCAGGCAGAGCCCTCCTCACCCCCAGGTGAAGGCTTGGGTTTTGTCTGATGAGTGATTTCATTTTCTAGATGTCCTGAAATTAATCTTACAGTTTGTACATTTTCCAATTTGGAAAATAATGTTGCAAGGCTTGAGACTTATTAAAGATGGTAGTGTAAGCTCTTAATAATATGTGGTCTGTGATGTTGTTCTCCATTTAAAAAAAAAAAAAAAAAAAGGTGATTTAGGGGGACAGAATTTCACCTGGCTAATGTCGGTGCAGGTTTAGGTACAGCCAGTTAGCATTGACTTCCAGACAGAGCCTATGGGTAACAGAAGGGTTGGTCCCTGTCTTTCTCCCTGGTACAAGTGCTCCCCACAGGCTGTAAAACCCATCCCAGTGACATGAAATGGCTTTCAGCAAAGAACTGAATCAACTGTGCTGTAGGCTGTGACCTCTTGTCTCACTTTCACTTTCTAACAGGATTAAGACATAGTAATGCGATGGTGGAAGAAAGCTATCACTTCTTTTGCATACATGGTGTCTGCTTTTCAAGGATTTCTGCCCTATGACTTACCAGGGTGCCCCTTTAATTAGCTCCAGTTTAAGTTAAGGGTTTAATATTTATCTGTTCTTAAAGAGAAACTACTTACTTAGCTGACTGAGCCTAAAAGCTATAGCAATAAACAACAGCAGAAAAGTCAGTTTCTTCACAACAAATGCTTTGTACTGCCACTAACTTGCGCAGTTTAAACACAAGTTGAGGTATCCAAGCACTGAGAAAGCTTTGGTTTAATCCATGCGAGGCTCTTCTCTGCTTTAGTCAAGGTTGAAACAAGAAAGGGTAAAATAGAATTGAGAAACTCAGATTAACAACGACAATTTTATAGCTTCATTTTCTACTGTATTCATATGGTAAATATACCAGAAAATGGGCTCTGGGTTTGCATTTCCTTCTAGTCTCGTGTAGCAGGACATTAAATAATAGCATTTGTGGTCTAATCTGCACTTTAATATGTTTTCTTCACTTGCTTAATTGTATTAATGGGAAGAGGAGGATGATCTTGTGGCGAGGACAGAGTACTGGAAGTCAGGTGACCTGGGTTACATTCAGAGCTCTGCCACAGGCTTCCTGTGCAGTCTGCTGTAATCAGGTTTGCTAATATATAAAATGAAGATAATGACATTTCCCCTCCTTACCAGGGTGTTGTGACACTTAATTCATTAATGTTTGTAAAGTGCTTTGTGCTCCTTGCTTCGAAATATGCTCCTTACTGTAATAATGTCTTATGGATGGTATTAAATTTGAGAATAATGTTACTTTAGTGCCTGTGCACTTCAGTTGGCTGAAGTGTAGTAAAGACCATTATTTTTATATATTTTATGAGCTACTGGAATTTTTAGATGACTTACTTGAAATTTAGCTGATATAGTTACAGTTAGAAAATATACTACGTCAGTACTATGCCTGCTCCTTATCTTTTTCTGTCCTTTCACTATGATGAAATATTCAGCAATAAGCAAGACTTGCTTGTTCGGACTAAAAGGAGGAAGAAAGAGTTTGGCATAAATACTGTAGCTGCTTGACTTCCAGCTCTGCTACTGAGCCTGCTCTCTACCCCGGTAAATCACCAAACAGCTCTGTGTCTCAGTGCAACATGCACAGAAAAATTGAGAAAGAAATTAAGTAAAAAAAAAAAATAAATAAAAATCTGGGGATATGAAGATGGGGAGTTTTGGTATTTACCTAAAATTGTAGCAGCACTACAGGACCAAGCAACTGTGTAATTCATGTAGTACAGTTAAAAACAAAACAAAAAATAGTTAACTTACAAAATCTTGGAAGGTTCAGCAATGCAAATGCCAGTAAATTCACAACAAATCACACAGCTAAATTTCTATATTGCACAGGAAAAGAACTCAGCTAAAATTCTCCTATTGTGCAATACAGTATGTTTGTTAAAGCAAATGGAAGTTGTGCATAGAAGTGAAAGTAGAATAAACTGCTGAAGTCTTTTTAAAAACAAGAGCAAGAGTATTATTAACATTCATTGAGCGTATCTGGATTTTTCAGAATGTGGCAGTTCACTGAAATTCTGCTCCTGTATGAAATCAAATGCTTATCAGACAATTGTAATATATAAAGCTATCTGTTTTTAATAGCCAGTGATAACTACATCAGGTGAAGAAAGGAATTACAAACTTACCATAAATAGAAGCAATTCATTCAAGGCTGTACAATGTTTGTCAGGCAGTAACCACGCCGCTGGTACAGTACAAGAAAAAGTATACGTGTCCCCTTACAAACACTGTCCAACATTAGATTAGTAGGAAGAAAGGAAAGCAGCTGACACTTACTATCAATATAAAAGTTCCCAGGAATTCTGAGAGGGCTTCTTTAACCAAGCTGTTCTTCAAGGCAAATTTCTCCTTTAAACTCCTTTTGCTTTTCCGGCTCATTTTGGCTTCCTCTATTGCTCTGGTGCCCTAGTTACAAATACACGCAAAATTTGTTCTGGATTCGTCCCTGCTTCAGCTGAACTTTGACACTTTTACTTATACATTGAAATATGAGATTTCATCTTGTACAGCCAGTGAAATCATCTGACTGCAGGCATTGACAGAACCAATTCAACATGCCCTAACAATTCATCATGAGTTTTCAATCCTGCGCCTTCTCTGAGTACACTTCTATTTATACTGGGTTAGATAACACCAGTAAGTTCACAATCAGAACTCTTCTTTTTTTTTTCTTTCAGAATGGATTAATCATTACCTTTCCTGCTATGTTTCTTGTTTTGTTGTTTTTTTTTTTCTTCTGGTAAAAATGAATAAAATTTTGTTCCTCACCAAAAAGAAAGACAAAAAGAAAAACCACAAAGCAAGGAACCAAAATATGGTAGAAAATTTCTCTCTGACCTAGACTGGGTTTTAAACCATGCTACTATTGGCTGTCCAAAAACTTTTCAAGGGGAGGTTGTTAAAGAGAGTGAATGCTTGTGAGAATGCTGTGCTCTGTAAACAAAAGCTCCTATCTTGTCCCTTCTGAGGGATTGCAGTGGCTAATGAGGAATCTTACCTTGGTAGTGTGTTGAATTTGTGTATTCACTCAGAGTACTCTTTTTGGACTAAATGCCCTGCTCTCTAGTGACACACCCTGTTTACAAAAGAGCAATGAGGCAGAATAAATTAGAAACATTTAATGAAATCTGCTTTGGTCCAGTGGCTCCCTATAATGCAGTATGGGCAAGTGAGGCACTCGGAGACTATACGTCTCCAATATGTTTAGCTTAAAAGGGCATAGATGCTACAATACAAAGCATTATAATATTATTTTCCGTGGTCTTAAGACATGAAGTTGCTGAATAGCTGAAAGAATTGGGCCACCTGGGGAAAAATATTACACTCTTAATCTCTTAAGCATCTTGAATGGTTTTATCAGATGTGACACTGACTTGACTAACATGCTGTTTGGTTGGTTTACAAGTACTTTCTGTTGTTTGACTTGACGCCAAAACCTTAGCCCAGTTCTGGTAGATTATTTTGGCGTGTGTTGTAGATGCTTGGTGCCTTGGTTTGTGCCTGTCCTAAACCTTTTTCACCTTGGTGGTAAATATATTTATGTCTGTCTATACTGCTGTCTGCTGCGAATAGTGCAGAGTTTACAGGATTGGGCAAACAGGCTACTTCGGTTATCCCGTCAGTGCTCTTCCTTGCCTCAAGCTAGGACCTGATGCATGTTCCCTGCAGCTGTAGTCACCTTACCACCATCAGTTTTATCCCTTAACCACCCAGTTCCCCCTCACTGCCACCAGTTTGATTCCTTTACCACCCAGTTCGCCCTCACCACTCAACTTTAATCCTGAACTGCTCTTCCATGTACTTTTACTCACCTTTCGCTACCTCTGCATTCAAATACTACTCTGCCTTTAGCTGACTCGGAAAATGCTGGTGTGTGAAAAGCCACACAGGTGATGAATTATGAGATGACTGCATCTGCACTGGTGTTGCACAAGCCAGGGTGAGCACCTATGCAGCGGCAGTCACGCTCTGTTGTAAGAGTGCTACAAGTCCTGTGCTACAGGACCTGCTTGCAGCGCGGGTCCGCACTTGCACAGACAGCTGGGAGCTGCCTCTGGGAAGCCCCTGAAAATAGCCTGTGTACTGCAGTTTGAAAACCTTTCCCCTACACTACTGCAAAACAAAGATATTATTCAGGACCTTAATTATCACAGTATGCTAAAGTATATGTTTATTATGTCTGTAAGAGAAGTCTTCCAGAATTATGTATACAGTAGAACTGAGGGAGGATGCTAGGGA